TATTTAAAAAGTACATTAACGAGCATTTACAAATTACGCGAACCGATCCTTTGCGATCTCGATTAAGGTCATAATTTTGAAAATCATTTGTAAGTCTCTCGGTTTTTTCCAATCAAGCGAAATGTAAAAAAAACTTATAGGGGTTAAATAATAAAATTATATATCACCTTACTGAGGATTTTTCAGTGGCTTAGTAAACGGTATAAACAGTAAGGTGATATGTGATATGTATCTATAATACATTACGATCGATAACACGTATATCTTTGCTAAAAATTGCGCTATACGTTCTTGGTTAAACTAAGAGGTTCACGCAGTTTTTCTCAAAAATATTGCGAATATGGCCAGAACAGACATCGAACTGCAGGCCTCCTAATTGTGAACCAAACGCTCTAACACTGTACCATGGCTGCTCATAAAAAATAATGATACCTAACTTTCACCCGAGTACCAAAACAATATTGGTGCATTATTGTATAGTTTACATACTGTAAACATTATTGTGCCAAAGTTCTTTGGTACTCTAGTACTTATTTAAAATGTAAAATTTCGCATAATAACAAAAATAGTTTGCTACTCTAGTACTTGTTTTTACTGCAACATTTCGCAAAATAATAAAATAGTTTGCTACTCTGGTACTTGTTTTTACAGTAACATTTCGCATAACAGAAATATTAAGAGTAATAGTAATATGATAAAAGTAGAAATAAAATATTAAAATAAAATGTTTAAAAAAAAGGCCAAATAAAGAGTAAACTAACAAACAAAAAACCAAAGTATACTTTAGGAAAGGAAAAAAGTTTATTTAATATTTTCTAATGATAACTGTGTTCATAAAAAATCAACTTTAAATATAGTATGAAAGTTCAGTCATACAACTGTTGTTTTGCTTCAGTATTATTTTTTGTTTTATATATAAGATTGTTATCTCCTAGGATTGTTAACAAAAGAAGGAGATGTTAAATGTACAATTAAAGAATTTAATGAGTACAGGCAATGGATTCGAAAATTAAAACTGGATGTAATCGAAAAAGAATGGCGAATGTCTCATGCACAAACAATGGATCGTACGCATTCAAAAAATGAGGAAGCAGAGCTTATCAAGAACAATAAAGACCACATAATGAAGTTGTACAGAATTCAGCTAAAAAAAGAAATATTGAAAAAAGAAAAGTAAGTAATTTAACATCTAAAAAAAAATTATAGGGTAGACAGGGGCACGTTGGCCCATTTGTGCTTAAAAAATATGCAAATGCGGCGGCTGCTCCACTCGCTACTTTTTACAGAGACCGTTTGATCAGAAATTAGTTCCAAGTTTATGGTCTTCGGCAAACGTAACACCACTGTCTAAAAAAGGCTTCAAATTCGACCTAACAAACTACAGGCCAATCTTCATTACGTATGTACTATGCTAAATAGTAGAAAAATGATAAAATATAAGATCATTGAGCACCTTGTAGCCAAAAAAGTTATTGCCAATTGTCAATACAGCTTTATCAATAAAAAAAACCTGCGTCACGAAAGACCTAGACATTGTCATGGAAAACCAAATTCGTGACGTCTAGGTGTCATGAAAGACCTAGACGTTCAAATTAACTACAATCTTAGGTATGAGAATCAACGGCAAAATTGCCGCTGCCAAGGCCAATAATACCCTCAAAATAATATCCTTGGAATCTTAAATTATTCATTAGCAGAGACACCAAAATATGAAAAAAGCTTTACACAACCTATATACACCTACATCTTAAGTTCGCAGTTACCGCCTGGCGTCCGTATCTTGAAAAAGACATAAATGCCATAGAACGCATCCAGCATCGGGCTACCAAAGTACTGCACAAAATGAAGCACTTCAACTACGAGACGATAAAACTCAGAATCACCTCACTACTCGATACACGTTTACGTGGTAACCTCATTCAAAAATTAAGAACGACATCAACTCAGTTAGCTGGCATATTGCTCCACTTTAACATTCCACTAATCTGCGGTAATCGCAAACGCTTACATTGTAAAATGGACAATAATCGCCTTGTTTGATTCAAATTTTTTCAACAATAGCTCTCTCATTGAACACACTACCAAACATAGTTGTCAATGTTATTAATGTCAACTGCTTCAAAGCAAAGTTCGATCAGCTATCACCATAATTATCACAGTACATCATTTTCCGTGCAATCATGTACGAGTTAACCCAAATAGCTATTGAAAAGCTAATCGAGCTTACGGAACACCCGGAACACGCGCGTTCCGTGTAACTTTATAGCTAACTATTTAACTAATGTTAAATATAGTTTTTTATTTTTCTAATAATGTTAGCACAATTTGTTATTTTTGCTGCAATTTAAATTATTTTTCACTATTTTTTATAAAGACCAATGTCTCAGAAAGACGAGAGAGAAACACGCACGGATCTTAAGAAAAAAGAAAAAGAAGTTTTATTAAAAAAACAACAACTTAAAAGAAACGAAGAAAACGAAAAAAGGCGCCAGAAACGCGAAGAGCTAGAAGATGAGGTCTTTTATATATATGTAGAAAAAGCAAAAACAACTTTTCAACTTTTTTACCTTTAAACCCTTTAACAAAAAATATGAAACACATTTTTTGTCTATTATTTTTCATTTTTAGGATAAAAGGTACCGCGATCAAATTTTAAGGTTATCCAAAAAAAACATGAAGATGAGGGAAGAAAAAATGAAAATAATTTATAACGAAAAAAGTGAAGAAATAAAAATGAAGGTAAAAATATACGTAGTATATGCACATATATTAGGGACCAAGAAGTCTAACATGTGTGCGAGTCTTCGGGTAACTGAAACCCTCGGGCCCTGCGAGTCACCTTTTTTTGGTTTCAAATTGAATCACGAATTGAAGCAGGCCTTGATTTGCAATTCGAATCAAATCTCGAACCAAATCAGCTTTTTGAGGATATCTATGTTTTAGTTAAACTTTGATTTCCTCAAAATGCTGATTGCACTCGTGATTCAATTCGATTTGCAAATCAAGACCCGCTTCGAATTGTAATTTGATTCGAAACTAAAAAAGATGATTCGCAGGGCCCTAATATATATATATATATATATATATATATATATATATATATATATATATATATATATATATATATATATATATATATATATATATATATATATATATATATATATATATATATTAGGGCCCTGCGATATATATATATATATATATATATATATATATATATATATATATATATATATATATTAGGGCCCTGCGATATATATATATATATATATATATATATATATATATATATATATATATATATATATATATATATATATATATATATATATATATATATATATATATATATATATATATATATATATATATATATATATATATATATATATATATATATATATATATATATATATATATATATATATATATATATTAGGGCCCTGCGATATATATATATATATATATATATATATATATATATAATATATATATATATATATATATATATATATATATTAGGGCCCTGCGATATATATATATATATATATATATATATATACATATATATATATATATATATATATATATATATATTAGGGCCCTGCGATATATATATATATATATATATATATATATATATATATATATATATATATATATATATATATATATATATATATATGTATATATATATATATATATATATATACATTTTAATTGATTGCTTTTTTTTAAACATAAAATAAATATTATTAGGCATAACACAATAACAAACAAATTTATATGTCCAACAAACAATAACAACGAACAAAATTATGATTGAAAAAAGCCTTAAGAAGCATTTTGTTTCAGGTTGTTGACTTATTTAAAAGACGTCAAATGTACTTCAGTGAAAAAATGAGAGATGAAAAATTAGCCAACATTGATGAAACGAGGAAAAGGAAAAAAAGTCTTGAAAGACGAGAAAAAGTCTATAAAAAGCAGCACAAACAAATTGAAGGTAAAAAAGTAAACTTATTTTATTAGTAAAATCCATAGAGGTAATCCATCAGTTAAGAGGTGTCAAAATTTTTTTTAAGCCTGTTTTAATTACGTCTGAATCAACGCACCCTTCCATAAACTAAAAAAATAGATCAAATGAGAGCAAGATTTAGGGTGATGAGGGTCATGATTAGGGTCAGACTTAAGGTCACGGATGGTCAGTACGGCTAAGATAAGGGTAAGGTTGCTATAACTTAATAATAAACCTTAAACCTCAACCCAGATCCTAGCTCTTACATAAGCGTTTATTTTTTCATTTGTGAAAGAGTGCGTCAGATATATTTATTAGAAATGTATCAACCTATGTTCAGACTTATTTGTGACCGTTTTATAGATGTTCACAAACAGTATTTAAACAAAAACAGAGAAAAAGCTTTAAAACATCTTCATGAGGCTACTCTTTATTTTTTAAAAATGCAAAGAAGAAAAGAATGCCAAATTCACAAATGGAGAGAGCATTTGAAAAGTGTTGAAAAGAGGGAGCATATTCTAACATACTGGAGAAAGTTGAGGTCCAGACTTCAAAAGAGTTCAAAGAGACAATCGCGCTGGAGAAGTGCTTGGGATATTAACCAAACTATTTTAAACCAAAGCTCCGAATTTTTAGAGGATTTCAAAATGGAAGACGAGAAACCTTATTTGGTATTTTATTTAAGTTTAATAATTTTGGTGTAAATATCTGTTCATCGTTACACTTTATTAAAAATAGTTTTAACGAAATTATGATAATGTTTTAAAAGGAACAAGATGGATCATTCCAAGAAGATGAGCGCGAAGAAGTGTCTTCAAAAGAGGAATTTGTATATGAAAAAACGTACAATATAGAAACTAAAGACCAATCTACTGAAACAGTTTTCGAAAATATAGCTTCTTCAACACCTGTAAACTCTGTTCAAAATAACAGATTTATAGTATCGAATGTTCGGTTTTCACGTGTGGAAATGGAGCGAATTCGCGTTGTTGCCATCGATATTATTAACGCTAAACTATTATCAGCTGTAAATAATTGTCTCAGTGAGAAAAATGTATCTTCAATTGAAAGTCTTTTAAATAGTGAAGTAACACCGGAACTCAGCATTGACATTCTCTGCTACGCAAAAAATTTGGCAGCTGCATCACTTATTAAAGCAGGGGAACATTTAGGCTTTAACAAAAATTTAATAATATCAATATTCGGGATTACCCCAATTGAAGAATCTATATTAAAAGCAATTAAAAATGAAGATGATCTGGAAGAAATAAAAAAAAGAAGTAAAGTTAGTATATATCAAACAGTTTCTAATGTCGAGCTAGAAAAGAAGATATCATCGTTGTCAACAAAACAAATGAGCAGTCAGCATTTGCTAACAAATTCTAGTTTAGAGGTTAAACCTTCTTTTAGTCTAGAAGTGGAAAGATTTGCAAAACACATTTCAACACTTACATTAATAAGAGCTGGCGCTTCTTTAGGTTTTAATAGTTTAGAAATTGTGGATGCTTTTGGTATAGAATTTAAAGTCGAAGATTTTTTACCTGAGATAGAAAAGATAAATCAGCAGTTTGTCAAAGATTTAGTGAAGCAAGCTATGATGCAAGCTGCTTTAAGTTTAGGCTACACTCAAGTTGAAGCGGAACTTGCGGTAATTTTATTATATTTACGTTATTTTTGCATGTGGGTTGTTTGTATATTTATGCCATTTTTGCATATGTGGGCAATTAAAATACTTTTTTTATTTAAATAAAAAATTGATTTGTAAAAAAAAAAACACGCTCAATTGCTTCTTCGTAAATATATATATGTATATATATATATATATATATATATATATATATATATATATATATATATATATATATATATATATATATATATATATATATATATATATATATATATATATATATATATATATATTACATATTTAGGTAAATTCTGTGCATTCTATAAACAACAGCCTGCTTGTTAAGACAACGGATTTTAATGAAGAGCCGACAGAAAATGCTGAAATCACAAGTTATGCAAAGAACATGGCGGCAGTTTCCCTGATTAAAGCAGGAATATCTTTAGGTTATGATGATCTAGAAATTGTTTCGGCTTTTGGTATTGAAGTCAACGGTGACCTTTTAAAAAGTATAGAACATCAAAAAAAGGATTTAGTTTCAAATATAGTAAACAAAGCTCTGATGCAAGCAGCCTTAAATCTTGGATATAGTTATAGCGAGGCAGAAGTTTCGGTATTATTTAGTCTTTTCTAGTGCCGTAGATCTTTTCTAGTGCAAGTGGGTTAGAGGCTCTCTCCCCCCCCCCCTCCTTTTCAAAAAAATAATCTTTATAAATCCTCTACTGGGTATTACACACACACACACACACACACACACACACACACACACACACACACACACACACACACACACACACACACACACACGCCCGCTCGCACTTGGAGACTTGGAGAGGCCACGGCTTTATTTCTAACTATTTAAAATATAATTTTTATTACGTATATAAAAAACGTGTTAATAAAAATCTTAAAAAAGCAACACTAGAAAGATGTATGTATGAATAAATAACAAATTAAACATAATTTAAAAAAAAAATTGTTTTTTAAGAATGTTAGTTGTATTTGGATAAAAATGTATGTCCTAATGAAACTATAAAATATGAAGGTTAACTGCATAAAAGAAAGAGTTATTGTTTTAATAAACAACAGTTAATAAATAAATAATTAATAGTGTTTATAAAACTTAAATTAACATTTTTAGTTTACAAAAATAAAAAAGACATCTCTACTTTATTCTAAGGAGATATAATAGCTTAGCTATTATATCTCCTATTATTAATTATATAATTATATTTTATAATTTTATAATTATATTTTATTATTAATTATGTAAATCTATATTAATAGCTAGCTATTATACTCCTTGTTTATACAATTAATTTTAATTTTTCATTTAGCTCAATTATCTAAACAAATACGATCAAGAAGATTCCTATTCAAGAAAATTATTTTCGGACACAGATGAAGTCTTTGACGCAGACGAGATAACAAAATGTATATCAAGTACTAAAAGTTTGGACCAAGTTTCGAACAATAATAACATTGAACCAACCACAAGCAAACGTTATGATACGGAAGCTAAATCAAAACCAAGACTTGAAATAGCAAAACATATTGCAGCAATATCACTTATTAGAGCTGGCATATCCTTAGGTTATGATCACCTTGAACTCGTTTCTGCTTTTGGCATTGAACTAAGCGAAGATCTAATTTCAAAAATAGATGAAAGATACGACGAATTTATAAGCAGTATGGTTAAACAATCCATTATACGTGCTGCAATAAGCTTGGGTTATAATCCTTTAGAAGATAATATAAATTTAAAATTAAACACTCCAAAGTCCACATCTCCATTCAAAAAAAAACACGAGGATACCAATGATTCTTCTATTATAAGCAAAACATTAACTGCAGGAAATACATTAACTAAAAATCAATATGTAGAAAATTCGTGCGAACAATTTTTCAATTCATGTTTAGACGATCAAATAGAAAAGAAGATACAACCATCAGTTAGTTTTCAAATTGAAGAATGTGCCAATAAAATTGCTTCATTATCGCTAATTAGAGCAAGTGTATCGTTAGGATACAGTGGAACTGAAATTGCCTTAGCACTCAATATGAGTACAAGCGAAACAAGCCTTGTTTTTAGTATAGAAAAAAAATACAACCAACTTGTGAGCAAAATGGTTAAGGAAGCATTAAAAGAAGCGGCCTTAAGTTTAGGCTACACTCAAGAGGAGGCAGAGTTTGTGGTAAGTCTTTTTTTTTTTTTACTTGATTTATTTATTGGCATACCTAAAAAACAAACAAAGCAATGTGCCTCATTTGTTCTCAGATATATGTCAATAAATAAATGTATAGACTTTCGAGGATTAAACTAAGCGATCGCAAATTGCAATATCTGGAAAAATAAATGGTCTTCAAAATTTTAGTTTATGCAAAACCGTGTACAATGTTTTATGGGGCGAATAAACTTAAATTTGATAGCAAAAAAAAAAAAACAAAACGATAAACTTAAGACTAAATGAATATAAAAAACTATAGCCACTAACTGCGTTATAAAAATAATAACATTTTAACATTAAAATGTTATTATTTTTAAAACATTTGTCATTAATTTTATAACGCACTTATAACTTTTATAATTTATTTTTTGTTCAAACAACACTTAATCAAAGTACTATAAATAAGAAATGATTTAAATAAAAAATTCCAAATTTTAATTCAAGTAAAAACGTATCAAGACAAAAATAGAATGAATATTTAAATAATGTTAAAAACATTTGGAACTTTTACAAATAACGCACCTTAAAAAGAGTTAAGCATTTCGAAACTGTTACTAATGGTCTGAAAAAACGTGCGTTGATTCTAAAAGTAATGCGTGTTTTTCTGGACCGTTAGTAACAGTTTCGAAATACTCAACAGTTTATAAAAAGTACGTACATTAATCGGGCTCTGAAGAGGTGTGTATATATATATATATATATATATATATATATATATATATATATATATATATATATATATATATATATATATATATATATATATATATATATATATCTTATATATATATATATATATATATATATATATATATATATATATATATATATATATATATATATATATATATATATCGACTCGAATGACCGAATTGAGCGAAGTTCTCGTTATGTCGGAACTTTAGAAATTAGAACTTTTGAGACTTATCGAATGTTCTTCAATGTATAAATATTTTAAACATTTATATAGAATTATATTTTTATGTGAAATACTTTTGTAGGTTAGGTTAGAGTAATATGAGCGCCTTGGTAATATCAGCATACTTAAAGATTTCTTAGATGTAAGCAGTGAAGTTAAAGTTGCTTTGTTTTTTTTTGAATCGCCTTTATGCAATGATTCCAGTAATCAATACCGTTAGCGTAAATTTATATACAGTAATTAGCGGCTATCATCTAATTAAAACGCTGTTATCATTATATAACGCTTGTTTACGTAATCTATTTTTGTTTGAAAAACAATGCATAAAAACAATTAGTTATGACTTTATTTGAAGAAACCATTTTTGTGTAATATGAGCATGCTCAAATTATTACCCAGTGTTTTTCATTGAAATTACCTAGTTCAAAGTCCTAAAATAGCAGTGGTTTTAATTGCTTCTTGAATAAAAACAAAAAATATTTAAAAAAATTTTAATATTTTAACAATACTAAATATTTTCTGTAATTTAAATTCAAAATATTTTAATTTTTATCGTTCAAAGGTTTGAGTTAATAAAATTGAAAAAAAAAGGAACTAATTTTTTTTTTGTGCGAAAAACAGTATTGTTTCAACAAAAAGTGGCCTAAAATTTGATCTTTTAATGATAAGTTTTGTTTATAGCGAATCATTATATTCCAAAAATTAGTTCTAATTATCAGGTTGGTATTTTTTTACTTATTGTTATTTTTTTTTTGAGCTAATTTAATTTGCTCATATTACCTAGTGGTCTTTCGCTACTTTTTTAAAACCTCTATGTTTTTCAGAAAAAAGTTCGAGTGCCAAAATATCTAAGCGAATCATGAGTATGGATCCCTTAAAACTATTTATTCGCAAAAATTTTAGATTGAGCATAACTACTTTTGAAAATATTCCATTGTAAGGCGCTCATATTACTCTAATCTAAGATATAGTATAAACAAAAAAAGTCCGAAATTAATGTTTGTTTCAGTAGCGCGCAATTCAGTTTTGAAGTATTCAAAGCTACTCTTTCGATTTCACCACTTTGAGTAAACATCGAAACATTAACTAAGGTATCAATTTTACGAACTTCTTCAGACGTTGGTTTTGTTACTGTTTCATCAGTCGTTTTGTTTTCTTCTTGCATTGTTTTCACTTGTTATCACTCTTCCCAAAATCGAAATGTCATCATCAATCATTAACTTAATTTTATAAGTAGAATCATCCGAAACATGATCCTAAACACGCTAACTTAACTGATCAATTTAATTTTTTAAATATACATCATCTTTTACGGGTACTCATACTCTTTCCTTAAACCCTGCTTTGCAGAAGCGGTTAATAATAGAGGTTTATAAAACTTCCAGGAATGAACAAGCATTTTCATAGCATCAAGTATGGAGATTGAAGGCATTTGCATTTAAACGATCGTATGACTCAATCCATTGTCTTCAAACATAAAGTTGTGTTTAGGGAAAAAAAGTAAAGTGTGACTGATTTAAAATTCTCATTATACGAGTGGGTGGTGCAGTTATCAATAACAAATGGTACCTTACGGCTTTCTAATGCATACTTTACCGTTTTTTGCTCTGAGCCACTCCTGAAATAGTTCAGAGGTCATGGATCTCTTTATTTTATGCAAGGTAATGACGTAAGGTAATGACGTAAGGTAATGACATGGAGTGCTTCTAACTCTTTTTAGGCAACGGAGATCTCTCAAAACACTAGGAGTTTTTATGCACACATGTTAGCTGCAGCAAACCCAGTTAGTCGTATCTTGCAATTCTTACCTCCATTGCATTTCCTACCTTTCAAATGCATATTTTTTTTTGGAAATGCTTTACTAAACAAACTGAACTTATCTGCATTGAATATATCCCACGAGTTGTAACAAGGCAATATTGTTGGCAAGGTTGTTTCCTTCAAAGGAACGGTTGTTTCATTGGTAGCATGTTGACCTTTACCAATAAAAAAAACAAAAAAAAAACTTTAAAATCAGCATAAATTTTATTAGCTATGGTTTTTATGCAGTGCGTAGTTTAATGGAGTGCGTAATGAGCCAACTGCATTTCAATTGGACTTTAAACAAATTGGACTGACAAATATGTAAATATTAATGAAAAAATAAAATTATAAATATCTCATATTGTTTTATACAATATTTTTTTCCATCTATCTAACCATCCATCGGATGCTTGTATGTTGTCACAACCAAGTTCTTTTGCAAAATGCTTTCAAAAAGTTCCAGACACTTTTTTAGTAACCTTTAACATTTTTAATAAATAAAGTATAATCAAAGATATCAGTGAAAATGTTTAGCTTGTTAAATTACATTTGACGCAAAGGTATTTTTTTTTTAATTTTATTTAGGTGCCCCATAAAGTCCTTACGTTCTTATCACAGAGCGCCGCGGATGATCATGTAATTGGAAGTTCACGCCTCCTTCCTAACCTATGTCGCAAAACTTGCCCAGAGGTGGGGTTTGAACCAAGGAACCTTTGTTTCTGAGGCAAGTGCGCCACCACTGCGCCACGGCTGCTCAGGGTTAGGGTTGTTATTTAATTTTTTGAGTGTTCTAAATTTTGAATTTTAATTGAAGCATTGTTAGTTTTGTAATTATAAATTAAAAATAAAAGTCTTGGTTAAGTTTTTTTTGGCGAAGACATTACGAGTTATGAAATCCAAAATGAGAAAAAAAGAAAGAAATTGAAATAATTCTATCAATCTAATGCTAATTATTTAACATTTATCAGATTCAATAGAAATTGTTTGCTTTTAATTTTGTTTAAAATAGCAGTTTAGTTTAAATAAGAACCGTTTAAAAAGTAGATAGTGAAGTACTTTATTTTTTTTTTGTTATTGTATAAACGGTGTAATAGAGAACAGATTCAAAATTAATTCTCTATTAGCGCCATAACTGTCAGAGTCTTAAATCAAACTCATGCTATATTTCTATCTTAATTAACTCTTTTGATATAATTTTTTTATCCGAGACTGGCTCTTAAATGTCGAGCGATTTATTTTATATGATCTATCAGCTCCAACACATCAATTATTTTTTTACTCTGCTGAAAAAAAAGAATGCGGAAGACCTTTTGGGGGAAATGCTTTTTTAGTTCATAAAAACTTACTGCTTTCTCTTCACGTAATACACGAAGATGAACACATACTTGCAATAAAAAATTCATATAGCAACAGTGTTTTTATTTTTGTTGGAGTTTATCTTACTTCATGCAGAAATACTTCTGAATCATTAGAACAATATCTGTCTCAACTTAGTGTAATTGCCTCCATCATTAACACATACGAGGATAAGGGAGAGTGTATAATTGCCGTCGATTTTCAGTCATTTCTTGAAAATATATATGACACGAAAGTTTAAAACAACCAAACACGTAACAACTTTTCTAGTCATCTAATTTTCTTGAAACAAACGAGCTTTCTTTTTTGGACATAATTAGTGGTACTGGTCCTACCTATACCTATAAGCATAAAACGCTATATAATTCATCATACATCGATTACATAGCTTAATCAAAGTCTTAAAAGAATCATCAATATGCTTTACAAACTGTAAAATTATTCCTCCTTTACATTTAAATATGAGTAACCTTTTACCCATCGCTACACATATTAATCTTAAAAATAATAGTTTAACTCCAGTTATAAATAATATACTTAAAAAATACAATACAATTCCAAAGTATGCATGGAAAGATGACAACTTTATTGAAATTTATAATCGGAACCTCTCTCAGTTTTTCAAAGATTACGCTTTTATTGGAGAAGCAATAGAAAAACAAACTCATACAACATGCGAAAAAAAAAATAATGCTGCCACTGTAGCTATGGAAGAATGTTTTCAAAAAAAAGAATTTCGCATTTACTCTAAATCATGGTAGACACCGGAAGTTAAATTATGCAAAGATATTCTCTCTTTCCACTTTAAAGAATGGAAAAAATGTAACTACAACAGATCGCAGGAATCCATTTTATTTAATAAATACAAGCTAGCTCGTAAAACTTTTCGTAAAACAGTAAAAGCAGCTCATAACCTAAAAATCAATAAAATTACCAAAAACATTGAATATCTTCGAAAAACTAATCCTCAAAAGTTTTGGAACAATATCCGAAAAATTAAATCTAGTCCGAACACTCGTATTTTTACGATAAATAAGAAGCAAGATTGAAAGAAAATTGTAAAAGAATTTCGACAAAACTTTAATACAATTCTCAACACTCCCACAATTACTAACATCAATTCCGAACACCGCAATATTCCCCAAAATTAGAATTTTAACTTAATATATAAACTATTAGTTTTATGTATAAACTGTTAGTTTTATGACCTCTGTATTTTTTACCTGTAATTTTGGGCGATGAAAAGAATAAATAAATAATAAAAATTTTGCTCACCGAAGTAGAGTTAAAAACATAAGCTTAGATTTTAAATAAATCAAAACTGATTTAAATGTTTTGATCTAACCATCTCAAACTCTGTGCTCTTAGAGCCAATAAATGAATTTATCTTAAATCAGAAATTATTAATTTCTGATTTAAGACAATAAGCAATTTTTCAAAAACTTTATTTGCGCTTGATTGTCAATAAACTAAATATCTCATAAATTAAATATTAGGAAAAAGATAAAAGTATGCTTTTTATAAAATCAAGATTTTATATAGAAAATTAAATAATGTTAGAAGTTCATATAGAAAAAAAAATTTTAATTAAAGAAATTGCAATGGTTCATAAATATTTTATTGTATTTTTGATGATATATGAAACTTAAATTTTATAAAAAAAAACTGTTAATAAATTATATTTAAAGCAACTTTCAACAAAATCAGGGATAAAAAGGGCAAATTTGAAAAAATTCAAAACAATGTTTCTTGATTAATTTTGATTTAAACTCAGTTTTTTGTTTATAGTTTCATTACATTATTATCATTCATTTCTACTAAAAGAATGAAAAACAATTAAAATATCAAAAACGAGACAATACTTTAAAAATCACAAATTTATACATAAAAAAAAACAGATGTTGTGTTATAAAAATTGATAAAACTATTCTTAGTTAATCATTTTAGTAAATCTTAATGATTAAGAAAATTTCAGCCAAAAAACCAAGTTTTGAAGTTGCAAAAAAAAAAATTTCAGCCAAAAATCATGTTTTGAAGTTGCAAAAAATAAAAAATAAAATAAAAAGTTATGAAAACAATGGAACAATGAAACTGACCAATAAAAAAGTTTAAGTAAGGAAATAGTAATAAATATTTTATGAAAAATGCACATATTTTCTGAAAGTATGATAAATTTTGCATCAAATGGTTTATTAAAAAAAAATTTACATTTTTTTTTTAATTGAGTATTTTTTTAAATATGAGCCACCTTAAATATCAAAGATTTTATTGTTTCCCGGCTAATATCATCGCAAAATTATTAGAAACATCATCATTTGGATGTTTCTAAAAATCTCCATTTTTCATTGAAACTGGGTAAAAACAATTTCTTTAGATAACGAGTCGTAAAGATGACAAATGAATCTAAGCAGTTGAAAATTAGAGGATCTGGTGAAAGAATTTTAGATATTTAGGGCAACTTTCTTTCAAAGTTCTAATGGAAGAAGGTAAAAGTCTCAGACATTCTTTAAAAAACTGCCACACCTGCAGCGGACACCTGATGCAGATTTCAAAAAGTTTTATGAATCTGCTGCACATGACAGTTCTAAACAATTGTAACGCGCAACTTGTAAAAGTTGTCTCAACTAACATTAAAAAAAGGCTATTTGAGGCGCTTTCAAGCAAACCAGGACACAGTGTGCCCGAGTTTATATCACCATAATGATATTTGGTGTCACAACACTTCATCAAAATCAAAACATTTTTTTATTTTTATAGCTTGTTAAGTTGTTGTTATTTTTGATTTATGATTGCACTTTCTCTTACACACATATAATGTATATATACGTCATACATGCATAAACTTAAATATTATAATAAATGCAAAATCGTGGCTAACTCTTTTATTTTTTTTTAGATTTTTAATTCACCAAGCTCTTCTGACAACTTGAAGACAAAAAAATTGAAAACTTTAAAAGTTATATCTTGCGAAAGCATGAATTCTTCTGGAGAAATACTTCCATGTTTAAGTAACATACATTTATCTCGGGTTATGAATAAAAACTATAACGATAAGTCTCCTAAAAAGTCAAGTATGCTGCCAGGTATCGAGTCATTTAGTAATACATTTTTAACGGGAACCTCAACCTGCATAAAACCTCGAAGAGTGAGCTCTGAGTTTCCATCAATTTCTACTACATCACCAGTATTACCAAGTCTAACTACATCATTATCAAACGTTGATAAAGCTTCTAATGATAAAAACGTTTCTGATATTACACACCTAATTTGTTCACCAAGTTCACAACTAAATATTACTAAAAGTCACCGACATTTAGTAGAAAGCTCTGACAGTCTATTTATGACAGAAGAGCCTGAAGTTGTTTTAAAAAACCCGGCAGACTTTGAAGAGAATAAATCATTATTTGAAGTAAAGACACGCCCACTTTACTTAAAAAAAAAAGACTTAAGAAAAACCGTTAGTCACCATTTAACGACCAATGAAAGACCTAAATTTTTTAGATATTACTCTACCGGTCGCCTACAATCAGAAGCTGGTGGTAATGATGATGTCAATAAACAACTCGTAACTGCTAACAAACTCCACGCAAATGTTCATGAAAAAACCAATAAAAACTCACAAAGCAGCTCTATAAAATTAGAATCTAAAAGTACTTTTATTCAAAACCCAACTTTGTTACCAACAATAACTTCTCAAAACAGTAATAAAAGCAGATATAACAAACAAAGTCCTTATAAATCTCACACAACAAACAACTTAGCTCACAAAGCTCAATCAAGCAGTAAACTAAAAAGTGAATTTTTAGACCAATCGTGTTTTGAATTGAACCCTTCAAAACCAGTGTCAGTATCTCTTAATACAGGGTTAAGACAGGTCAGAAGAATTGAAAAAGGTTGCAATATAAGTTTAAAAAACCTGATTTTATCAAACAAAAAACATGTTGATTCAGGTGTTGAACATTCAAAATCAGAAAGCGAGTCTAAGTGCAGTGTAGAAAAACCTGCAGCACCCTCATTGAATAACTTTGTCGGCGAAAAAACAGAAGAAATTAAAGTTATTGGAAACAAACAGTCTTGGCAGCCTAATCAAGTAGTTGACGAAGGACACATTATAAAGCAAAGCGAAAATAAAAGTAACCATGAAATGAGGTTGAATGCTTTAAACAATAAGCAAGCGGAAACTATAAACGATCAAGCTATAGACCAAAAAAACAATCAGACTACTCCAGTAAAAACCTTTTCATTGCATAGTAACTTTAAAAGGTCTTTGGCGGTTATACATAACCGCATAAACGATAAGCCAGATACACTAATCTCAATGCAAAATGCAGCAGCGAACACAAAAGATTTAACTTCAAATAAGACCGTTTCTTCTGAACCTACGTTGACACCCTCTCCACCTTTAGTCTCTAAACCACACTATCTTTACTATTCACAATCTGTTAAAACAATGACAAACAATAACAGCCTTAAAGAATTAATAAAATGCAAAAGCCTCGATTCAGGAAATAACTTTATAAACGCAAGATTGAGACCTTTTCAATCACACGATAAAGAATCCATTATGTTAAATAAAGTTAGCCTAAATAAAACAAGAAAAAAAAAATCAACATCAACTTTAACAGAAACAATTTTATTCCCACAACTAAATTCACGAGATAAGATTCTAGCACCTTACACAAAACCTGTTCAAACGGAACCAATTGATTGCAATTCAATAACAGATATAAAATATATTTCAGCACATCCCGTCGAACCATTAAACTCGTCAACAACAAAGGTAGATGGCAATGTTTCGTCTACAAATCAAACAGTTAAAACACCAAGTATAGCCATTGAGAAACTTTCGTCACACGAAGCCAAAATAAAGTCTACCAAATCGAATCCAGACCGAATTCCATATGACAACCCAGTCTAAAAATAAAAATTAGCTATTGAGCAATTTATAGTTTAAATTAAAATGAAATTCACTAAATATTTTTACTTAACTCTTTTAAAATAATTTTTTTATTTGTATACGTACTTGTATTAATATATGAACAACATTTTTTATTAAATTTCATCAATACTGTTACATTTAGTATTACATTTAGTTTTCGGTGTAGCAATACACTTTTAAAAATATGTTTATTGCGTATGATTATGACGCATTTCCAAGTAATGCAACTTATTACTTAATATTACCAAATTAATTTATTGGTCTAGAGTACGTAAGATTTCATACTTTTGTAAACAATTTCTTCCTCTAAACGGACCGAAATTGTTCGTAGTGCTGTGGCTCGAAGCTACTCATTTCAAGTTGTTGCATGGGAACATGTTGTTGCGGCTGTTCATGAATATTGTAATGATTATTTTGAGGAACGAAATATTGATTGTAATTAGACGCTTGCTGGTAGTGCTGATATTGAACAGGAGGGTATAAATTTTCTCCAGGCGTCGGAAATCTTGAATCTATTTCTATTGGAGCCACTGGTGGACGAGAAACTTCAACGGGCGCCGGTTGATGCGCTGGAGGATTCGGATATACATATTGATTTGGAGGTTGAGCGTTTCCGATAAAATATTGTTGTTGTTGTTGTTGCAAATATTGCTGATGAGGAACAGAACTCAAAGTCTGTAGTACCTAAATGTAAACAGAATGAAGTTATTACTAAGTTGGCATTATTTTATAAATTTATTTTTATTGAATAATATTTTAAAAGAAATATGAATTCATAAAAACCATTGGTTTTAAAAAAAGTTTCTGCTATTACTTTTTTTTCAATTTCTCAAAATACGTAAAAAATACGTAAAAAAGCAACTTAAGGCGCTTTGAAAAAATCTGTATTATTGTTTAGACTTAAAAGTTTGTAGTTTCTGAATGCAAATAGAAGATATTACAAATGTATTATCAAACAACAACAACAACAACAACAACAGAAATAGAATTAAGATATTACAAATGTATTATCAAACAACAACAACAACAACAACAACAACAACAAGATATTTATTTTCCTTTTTCAAAATTTACATATAATCATATAAAAACAATAATAATAATATTATCTATAATAATAGAAACAATATAATTATAATAAAACATAACTAATAAGAATAAATATAAATAGTTATTTGAAAAGGAAGGTGTCACTCAAACAGAAGCCTGATCAAAAGAGTGACACCAAATAATTATAACAATAATTACAAAATAATAATATTATCTATAATGATACAAATAATATAATTACATTAAAAAATAACTAATAAGAATAAATATAAATAATTATTTGAAAAGGAAGGTGTCACTCAAACAGAAGCCTGATCAAAAGAGTGACACCAAATAATTATAACAATAATAATTAAAAATAATAATATTATCTATAATAATACAAATAATATGATGACATGAGTGTCATTCATAATCAAAATGAGTGACACCAATTAATTATAACAGTATAATAATAAAATAATTATAAAAATAATACATATGAACCGACAATCGCTAAGAAAATAAATAAAATAATAATAACAACGATAAAGCGATACGATAAACAACGATAAGTTAAACAATAAGACAAAAAAGTATGAAAACACTCAATAACAACAGCAAACAAAAATAAAAATAATAAGCAAAACAGAACAAATAAAAAACAAACCTTACACAAACGAAAAGGCAAAACACAAAAACAACAAAACAATCAGGGCTACATAAAGTAATATATATATATATATATATATATATATATATATATATATATATATATATATATATATATATATATATATATATATATATATATATATTACTTCAATATATATATATATATATATATATATATATATATATATATATATATATATATATATATATATATATATATATATTACTTCAATATATATATATTTATATTACTTCAATAGTATATTACATTATTTATTATATATATAATAAATATATAATAGTATATTACATTATTTATTATATATATATATATATATATATATATATATATATATATATATATTTATATATATATATATTACTTCAATATATATATATATATTACTTCAATAGTATATATATATATATATACTATTGAAGTATTTTTTAATGCGATATAACATACAGCGCCACAATAATTACTGAGCACTTAGTAATTTTTTATTAAAAAGACTTTTAAACCAAATTTTTTAATATTTTAATCAAATTTAAAATTTTAAGTTACCTTTTTTTCATAGTTACTCTTTCGGTTTCAACACATTATTTTTTAAGTTACATTTACTAGAGCACACTTAGATTTTTTAGGTTTATCAACTTTAATAGGGTAAAAAAAAATATTTGAAGTAGTTTTAATGTTAGCTAAGTTTGCAATTTCAATGAATATAATATTTAGGCCCTGATTTTTTTTATATTAATAAATATTCTTTTGTTTTTTAAATTCAACCAAATTGAATTTGGTATTAATACGATTCGAAAACTTGAGATTTGTAAACATCCACATGCAAACATCCACACGTTAACAATGCAAACATCCACACGTTAACAACGCAAACATCCACACGTTAACAACGCAAACATCCACACGTTAACAACGCAAACATCCACACGTTAACAACGCATAAAAAGAAAACAATTAAAAGTACAAGTAGTTTTCTTGTTAAAAATTTAATATAAAATTGTTTTAAAAGGGAATTTCGAAGAGAAGTCAAAAGAACTAATCTTTCAATAGTATTTTGTAATCTAAAGATTACAAAATACTATTGAAAGCAAAAGGCTTTAGAGAAATCTCCCAAAAATATCCAAAAACAAGTAGATTATGCCGATAAAACAAGGAAAAAAATTGTACAGTAAATTTTACAGAATAACATCAAAAACAAAACAAATAACCTCACAACAGATGTACAAAGCGCAAAACTATTTGAAAGCGCAAAACTATTTGAAAGCCGTAGATGGCCTAAAATTAGCAATCGAAGAAGTTCTTTATAATATCAACTCAATAGATGTACACGATGTCAAATACGATACTTATCTAATACTTTATGTTAATTCAGATTCTTCGGATTATTCGAAAGTTGAACGTGAAAACCTTGAAGTAGTTCACCAGTCTAGAACGGTTTCTAAATTTTTCTGTTAAATTCAATTACGACATTTTAAATATAAGCAGTAAAGACACAACTTTTAAAATTTTTATTGACATTATAAAAACCTTAATACTTATTATAGTGCACTTTGTTGTATTAGAGGTTTACTATAAGCTTTGTAAGACCATTAGAGGTTTACTATAAGCTTTGTAAAACTATTAGAGGTTTACTATAAGCTTTGTAAGAATTTTATAATGCTATTGTTGTTAGCCATTGTCTTATTTCATTATTAGTTATATTTGGTATTTTGTTGGTAGTTATTGTTGTTAAGTTTTTTTATGTATTTTTACTCTTTATTTATTTTATTTTTTTCTGAAATATTGGTGCTAGACTAATTTGTGGTTTGAATGAAGAGGTTTGATTTGAGAGGTTTGATCAGCTTTTCTGTAGTGATATTCATTTTATTAAAATAATAACTGATATGATTTAGGATATAGAAAATGATAAAGTTCCTACATTGCTAAGAGATAGCTTAATAAGTAATAAACAAATATTGTAATAAAAAATTAAGAAATTAAAAGTATTTTCACCGAAGAAGGCATATTCTTCATCTTATACTGTAGCAAAGCTTGTGTAAGGGCATTTGACACCTGCAAAGCTAGTTCTGCATCCGTTTCATTTGTAACGCAACATTTTGCCTAAACAAAAAAACTAAGATTTACTTCTATATATTGTCCTTCTATATATTGTTGTGTAATTTAATTTTAAATGTTATCACAAATAAGTGAAAAAACTATTACAATTTTCTAAAAAGCTTGTCATTAAAAATTTTTGCATTTAAGTTGCCATATCCAAAAATTATACAAAAAAATTCAAGCAATATTAAAAAACCTAAATAAATGAAAAAATAAAACGCTATGAAAACGTTAGCGATGTTAATAACAAATCAAACTGAAAAAAAAAAAAAAAAAAAAAAGCGATGAAAACTATAATAATTCACAAAATTTAATACCGTTTATTTAGAATTGTATTTTAATTGTCAGTATTTTTACCTAAATGATCAGTCTTTTTTTTTTAACAAATAGTCAGTATTTTATCTTACTTTTTATTAAAAGGCGAAAAAAAAAACCCTTCAGTCAATGCATGCACACTGCACTATGTCTAAAGCTATATAAGTTGATGTATGTACACTAGGGTTATGATATTTTTTGAATCTGTTGTTGCTTCTACAACCTGAACCAACTGAGAAATGTTAAGCGATCGATAAAAAACTGGTTTATTGATTGTCTAGTTGCAAACCGCCCCCCTCCCACTTAATAATATGATTTTTCACATATTGCATAAGGACATGTAAAGCTTATTTCCCACACATTTATAAACAGCCACAAAAATAAAAAACAAACAGTTAATTATATTTAGTATTTAAAAACTAAATGTCATCTAAGTGGATCAACAAAAGTAATTATTTTCTGTAAGTTAGTTAAATGCTTCACAGGTCATTCTTTCCAATAAATTTTACATTTGCATATCCCCATTTTTTTTGAATTTTTAAGAAGATCTTCCATCAATTTAACACCACGTTCAGAAATGATGTTTGTCCTTGGAATATGAAGTGCACTATCTACTTTGCTCTAGTGTTTCATAAAGCACTTTAAAGCAGCTGTACACTTAAGTTCAGTCAATACATCTAGCATATGGTCATACGGTTTATCATCAAATAATTTTTGCTGAACCAAAGTTTTTTCCACGAATTCGCAATAAAGGTTGCTGCACTTTTAAGTTCACACCTCCATGTTGGTATAAGAAAATAGGCAATAAGAACATATGATGCTCTAGAGTTCCATCTTGCACTGTGCAATAGAGTAAGTTTATGCCTCTTAATTTTTAGTAAGCTTTTTTGATTCTTGAAGTAACAAAAAGCTTCACATAACTTGTAAAGAAATTTGAAATCATCTCGTTATCCAAGGTTTATAATCAAATATTAAATCTTTTACAAATTTATAATCAAAACCAGAAGTTATTGATTTATAATATGCAAAATAATCCAAAACATATTTTAAAATGAGATAAAGTATATGATACTAACATCCTAAATATTGTGGTTTAGTAAAGTCTCTGGTTTCCATTTCATTTTGTATATATATATATATATAATATATATATATATATACCTTTTTATTTTCCTGTGTTTACTGCTGTTGTGTTAAATATAATGATTGTAATACATTTTTATGCATCAAAATCATTTAGCAATTTTTTAAAGCTTCAAAAATATCATGGGATTTTCAACATTCACATTTAACAATTCCTAAATTGATTTTAATAATCTCATTTTGAAGTATCACAACTTGGTATTCAGTCTTTTTTATTTTATTTCCGCCAAAATTTAGGCAGAAATGTTCTTTTTCTGTCTTCTTTCCCCTTGCCTTAATGTTGATCTCCATATTCCTGTCTGATTTAGAGTTCCTATTTCAATACCTTT